ACAAGTGCTAGGAATTTCAAATTTTGCATTCGGGATTTTTTTTAGGACGTAGTTGCTCACTAAGACGTAATTTTATGAAATTCAACCCCTAATAGGGTTAATTAGGGGATGAAATTTTTTATGGAATTTTCTCATTTCAGGACTCAAAACCAGATCATGCGGGCGAAGCCGCTGCCGGAAGACTAGTTATACTAAAATGTAAGCAGTACCTACACTTGTGTTATTTATTTATTTTAACATTGGAAGGGCAGTTTGACATAACTAAACCTAAATATATATAGTCTAGTTCGAGCAACAGAATTGCTGCTATTAGCTTTAATAATGCTCTTGTTTATTTGAATATCTTTGCTTCATAATGACCGCGGCGAGCACAATTTTTGCATAGCACTTGAGACGTTTATTTTAATATTCGGTAGTTTTGTTACCTATCTGATTAAAGGTCAAATTATAAAAAAAGACTTCCAGTCTCCTAATGCGAATAAACAAGTCTGCATTTATCCTAATATATAGCTACTTATTAGATATACCTAAAGCGTTACTTAATAAGATTAATGTGCTTGCGAACAGCCTGTATAAAAATAAGTTAATTTTTCTAGCGGAAACATCTCGATTCGATTTCTTTGACATTAAAAATACTATACCCTTTTCGTTTAAACCACAGGAATGGAAATGAGACAAACATGTTAAGACATAGTTACCTAACATGTTGAGCGTTTTCGTTTCGTTAGGTACTTTTTTTTTTCCTAAACTGAAAATAGAATTAGTTTATCTTTGTAAATATAAGAAAACAAATTACTAACACTGGGATTTCTCGTTGTAACTCTAACATGGATAGCGTTCAGTTGTCACATACCGAATATTTCATTAACATGTTTTATCATGAAGCCATATGACGATAGTTAATAAATTTTCCAAATGCCCTATAAAAATACAGATAGTGTCCAACATGCGATAGGGTTTACTGTATCAAAATAAATCTCGATAAAAAAAGTATCTGAATTATTACCAGTAAGATACAGGTAAAAAAAATGAGCGATCATTAGAGAAAGATATTTATTCTTACTCTTTTAATGTCCATTATTTTACAAGTTGTAAAATAAAAACGAAATATCGCCATAAAACAGCTAAGATCTCGTATTTATGGCTGGGTAATTAAGCGGTCGCACTCCTGATTAGTCATAAGCAAAAAAAACGGGTGCAATCCCTATCTCAATGACCAAAGACGGCTAATTTCTATGTAGTCAAACAGTTACAGATTTGAAACAACTTGCGAACGACTGTAAAAACACAGAATACAGAAAGACCATTTTTTCTGTGTTCTGTGGTCTTAAATTACCGTTACGCTGATAGATTTTGTAACGATATGCATTGATGTAAAACAAATTTAAAATTCTTAATGAGTTTTCATAAACATTTGAAATTACTGTCCTAACCAATATTGGCAACCCTGACACCGCAAAATGCATAACAACACTCAATAGATACCTATATAGTCACAATGTCGATATCGTTGCGATATCAAAAACCATTTGTAGGTTCTGTGGAAAATTTGTAACTTTAATTCAATAACAAAAACAAATCAATTTAAACTGTTTAGCCCAATTATTCGATCATAACAAAATCAGACTCATATCTTTCTGTGAATTGACTACATTATAGAACTGTATGTAAAAACAATACTTTTCTACAATGGTGTAGATATATAAATCATCACAAAAGCACAAAGTATATCGACGGCCGCACCGATAAAACGTATAAGAGCTGTTATTAATAAATTTGTTGGCGTTATTTAATGTAAAATGTGTTTCTGCACCACCACAAATTGTTTGTGCCTTTTTCTCAAATCAAGAATAATGAATCTTGACCAAATATGGTTTCATTTGCTAACAGAATTGAAGGTTTGCTCGCTACTGAAGTCGGGTGCCTAACATTCAATTAATAGGTAACCTACAGAAAACCGGTCGACTTCAATTGCAGTTACTTTTCTTAAATAAGTCGCTTTTCGGGTAAGTATTAATTTTACAGCTTTATAGTCGGTTCTAAGTATTTTTTTATAATATTTTAGTCTTAGCTTTTAGTGATAAAAATTTGATACTCACTTAACTATAAAACTGGCAAAGTACGAAAGGGACTCGCGCGTGAAGGGTTCCGTATCATTATCCATAAAAAAAAGTTAAATAAAATAACGTCTGTAGTTTTATATGGTATTATTCGAAATTTTCGAGTTAAATACAATCGGTCGACTGTTACTCGTAAACTTGAAAAGCCAACTTAAGTATCACACTTCTCCTTTTATCTTTAGTATAAGTAATATAACTTCGTTGTCAAATTAAACATAAGTTGGTTGTCAAGGATAAAATTCAAAAAGTATAATATAATTATTAATAATTAAGAATAAGTACTGTTACTTTATAGATTAAGCTGTAGGATTGCATGCAGTGTCTACCTATAATAATTATCTTTGCATTTACTAAGTTATTTTATAAGATTCACTATTACTGTACGTATACTGTATAAATTTATAAGACGTTGTTAAATAAATAAATAAACTTCGTTATATATAGGTACTATTGCTGTAATGTTTGAATTTTTACCATCGACCGCTTAGTTGGTGGAGGAGAGGACACTTGATTCTTAACCAAAATTAGCACTTTAAAGCTTGATAAGTCACAAACATGTTACTAAATCAAAAAACTTCCCACATTGACAAAGTTTCTACAGACCTATCCAAAGACACTATGGTGAATATGAAAAAAGTCACTCCCACTTTTAGAGGGAGGTAGGTACCCTAAAAATTGTTTATTTAGAAATTTTGCTTTACCACTTTGCCGGCGTAATTAACGTGTATATTCATGCCAAATTATGACTTTCTAATACCAATAGTTTTTAAGTATGTATTAGGACGGGTGGAAGAACGGACTAACATGGCGAAATTATAGGGTTCCTTATTTACTACGGAACCCTAAAAATCAAGAACATCCTTCGATGTCATCCAAATAATTTTATTAGTCAGAATAATTCGGAAAATGTTTATACAATATTTTTGATATGAAAACGAAAGTGATAATCCGATTTCAAAAGAAATGTATGGGACCAATTCAGGACTTTGAAAAAATCTTGAAATTCGTTCTACATTTCGCAGAAAACGAATTTGTGAAAATATAATAAAAATAGAAACAACATGGTAAAACCACTAATGAGTTTGATAACAGCATTTTTACATTTTTCATTTAATGATAACTACTTCCTTCATTACTTATTTGTGTGTATCAATCAACTTGTTTACTTATTAATTTATCATAGGTTGTGAGGTCACAAACCATTCACGGCTTCCCTCAAAGTATTCACAAACAATGGAAAATAAATTCATAATCATTAACATATAAACAACAATAAATTATTATTTTTAACCAGAGTTTTAGAAAGAGAATTCTATATATCTGTACAATCAAAAGTATAAAAATAATCTTTAAAATAAAAACACATAGGCTCGCCCGACTGCAATTAGAATTTTGTCTTGCTCTTACTTATCCGATTTTCATAAAACCTACATTGCCACAGACAGAAATTCCAAACTTACAACATACCTCTTCTTTCGTCGGGGGTTACGAAGAGATCTCCATCATTCTCCTTGTTTACTTACACCTTACAGATTTTGATTCAGTTCATTGCTGAATAGGAAACTTGAGGAAAATATGACCCAAGTCAAGCAAGCTATTAAGAAGCAAGTGTAACAAGGCTTGCCGGATGAAATAAAACCTCAGGTGGACCTGACATAAAATTTACGCATATGATAGCCGTGTTCAATAACAAAAACAACGCCATCTAGTTTGAATACCGATGTATTTAGTAAAATAGGAAAGTGATTACTTTCTCTGTGTCCGTTGTCCTCGTATTGTAATAATCTCATTAAAGTATTGTTTGTGGAACGAGTGCATCGGCGACCCTTGACCTTGTTTGTGCGCCTCCGACAACAGAAAAATTGTGCTCACAATGAATTGCGCATTTAAATGCATTGCGATCACTGTCACTTGTTTTTCCAGTTACAGTCTAATCAACATCTATATGCAGGTTTATTTAAAACTCACCTATTCTCATTACTATCCAGAATCTCCAAACATCCGCATTGTTTTAGCTGTACCAATACCAATAAGTTGGTCCAGCTCAAAAATTTATGAAAATCTTCACCATAATAGGTATAAACATGATATACTTAGGGGATACCAAGCAATTTTGTAACAAAGGACAATAAACAACCCTGATTTCCAGAGAAAAAAAAATCAAGCAAATTGGAGTATGGGAATATCAACGTCTACGGTAGTAGCGATGATGTCTTAAATTTTGATAAGTCAGGTTTAAAAGTCGATGCAGATACAGCTAGAAGCAATAATTTAACATAACTTCTGAAGCTCCAGATAATAAATTTTTGGTAAGTCATATGCATTCATCATCCACAAGGAATCTGACTTGAAGTTAATTAAATATAGATTTATCTGTGCGTTCTAAAAATTATTTCACACAAACATACTTATCTTCATAGTATTGCTAAAACATATCATGTAGGAGCTATTTTTGTTCCATCCAGGAACATATTATTGAAATAAACTATTCAAGTTTATATTTCAATGTTAGAGCATATATAGTTACTTCAATTCATTAAATGGATCAGCTATTGTACGATTTAACAATATCTTCTTAGACTTTCTATATAGTTTTGTTACATACTGTTTTCACATGACTTCGTCCGCGTACCTAAATCATCCGGATGTCTTTATCACTCGCACCGCACATGATATAGGTTTTCGTAGGTGAAAGAATTATTGAAATAGATCCAGTAGTGTCGGAGCCTATCCGATGCAAACAAATAAACAATCAAATATCTGCCCTTTATGACGGTAACATTTGCAAAATGGAACTTTTAAAAACTGACCTGTAGCATTATACTTTTTGTCACACATGTTTAAAAGAAATATGTAATTTTGTAAATAAAAAGCGATGCTTTAGAAACGGTATAATAAATTTTAATAACAAACGCACGTAGTTGTGCAAATATAAACATAACGAGGGCGCCCGAGCAGAGGACGCGGCCTCTGTATCAACGGCGCACACTCGATACTGAAGATTTGGCGCGTTGAATCTTCTTCAGCAAAATCTAAAAGATAATAAAATTTAAACATTTAGTCATTTTACACCCAAGTTCTTAATCCTACTCCGAATATTTATTGCCTCTTTTGATCGATGTTAGGGTTAGCCCGGAAAGGAAGTTTTCCATCTCACACTTCGGCCGCAGGGTCGTCGGGGTCCGACTGCCGCACACACCGATCGGTGTGTGTGCTATACGTGCCCGGATGGCACCGCGACCGGAGTTGCGACTAAGGAACTGTGAACGGCCTGGCTGTTGTCAGGCTAGACATCGATGGTAACCGGAGCCATCGGGAAGGGGGATTTCCTTTAACCAAAACCAAAGTATAATCGGAGGAACTCAGAACTCATTTTATCCGCACACCCAACTAATTGGTGACGGACTAAACCATCTGCACCAGCTTTAATCAAAAGCATTGTTTGGTTTTAATGCTATGGTAGATGCATTTGAATCGAACAACGGCAGTACGTGCCTTCTAAAATAGTGCCTTTTAAAGCAGGGTGTCCCTTTGCAAAGGGTGAGTAACTTTCATCATTACTCCATATACTTTATAGTTGCCTAACGTTGTGCCAGAAATGTAATAAACTATCAATTACAAATATTATAACACCTATGTCAATAAAATGTGCCGTATTACGTGGTCCAAAGTCATCATTACTTAGAACGAAAATTGTGATAATTTATAATATTATTATTATAGCAAATATGAGACAGGACCATATTGACTTACCATATTGTCTCGATCTATCTGTCTCTGTTGATTTTTTCTCATAACTGCAGCAGAGGGCGCGGGTCTCCTGGGCGGCTGGTCTCGTCCCGGTATGGAAGACTTCTTGTTATTTCTCGCGCTCAAAATCTTGGTCAACAGGATGTGATTGTGCCGTTCGATCTCACGCAATCTTTCGTTCGTGAATGACATATTGATTCTGCGTGTTGGTGGCACAGAGACCGAACTGAGGAGAAATGTGTCAACCAAATATGTAACTTTGTAAGTAATACTTATTATAAGTACCTACATATTAGACCCACACTTCTAAAAATTTGAAGAAAAATCTAGTTCAAAAGATCGAATCACGATAAGAATAACTAGAGGCAAAATGTGCTACACCACATAGAGACTATGATTATTACATTTCTGACCCGTATTATATAAAATTTACCGTAGGACATCTAGGTGAACCACTTTGGTGTTCCACGGGTCAGAAATGGATTATTTTGACTCGCTCACAATACTTTATTTCCAGTAAGAACCAGAAGATTTTCGTGTTCATAAAAACAGAAATGTTTCTAACATTAATGCTAATCGTTTTGGTTGTTGGAAATCTTGACTTTTTGTGCAATTCAGAAACATGGGTTAAATTGACACATAAGATAAATAGGCTCTTATTTCTAGTCACTCACCCAAAGTCTGAAGTCGATCTGCCTGATACAGAAGCTGGGGCTTTATGAGACATAGAAGACTGACTTTTAGAAAGTTTTATGGAAGACGGTACCACCATCTGACTTTTATTGTTTTCGCTAGCCGACTTTGCTTGCGATTTGACGCTTTGTATAGACTCTTCTCCATCGCTCTTGTCTTCCTCGAATTCGTCGGAGTATGCGTCCTCTTCCACCGATTTGGACTTTTCTGCTTCATTATCAGAGTCGTAGACGCATGTCTCTACGCAAATATTCGGTGGGCTTTTCACCACGTCCACGATGCAACCCATTTCTGATAGTTCCTTGGACAGCTCATTGACCTCGTTATTGTTCTCTTCCTGATATTGTTTAGTTTTAAGTCTATTAGAATCACCGGAAGAATATTCGGCGTCGATGTACCCACCGGTATCTACGTTGCTTTCTCTGCGTGACATAGTGCGGTCAAGCGTGCTATTACTGTGTTTATTTGACGCTATAAAGGTAAAAAAAGAAATACATTTGCAGAGTCTAGCTAATGCTATTAGAAAACAATAAGCCATATTAAAATTATTGTGTCTATATAAAAACAGTTTTATTAGAGCTACAAATATTCGCATTACATAAAGTGAAAATATTAGTTATTTAAGCATCGAAAAATATATTTTAGCTTAAATGAAATGCACTTCGCTAAATGTTAACATGTTCGGACCCTTCTGAATCTTCATGAAAGTCTGATTGTACCTTAGAAGTCAGAGAAAAATAGCCAAAACTTTCCAACAAAGGAACAATCTTATATAACGATGTATTGTATTTATAAGGCGCATTATATGCTTCTAAACGAAACCTAGAACCTATATTCTAGCTAAATAATAGGAACAAATACAACTATTACACTGACTAATTAACTACATCATAAAATATATTGATAGGTGGATCAACAATATGCATGACTGTGTATGGCACGATTATCCTTAACTAAAGTACATTTCTGTCTCCTCTACATCCCTTCTACTAATATTAAAACACAAATACATAATTTATACTAATACGTTACCGTGCACAAAGTAATATAAACTAAATTACACGATAAAAAAGCTTTAAATAGAAATTCTCAAAACCCCTTCCTTTGACTTTGATTGTGTCAGATATAATATTATTTTTAAATCTCACTTGTAATTTATTTGGAAGAGCCAGCGTTATACTTGTCCTGAATTTCAAACTGGAAGCATCGATTTTATTAGAAGATAGATCCAAAAAATTAAATAACTTCTTCGTTGTAACCGACAGAAAATGTTTGATAAAAAAATCAATAATATAACTAAGAGATAATACAAACAAATATCGCGCCTTTGGGTTATTGTGTAGCATCAGGTTGGTTGCTATGTTTGCGTTCCGTTACCATCACAGACGTGTTTGTAAAATAATCAGCTGGATTCTAAATAAAATCATCTACTGAATATAAAAAAATAGCTTAACTACATACTCATTTTCTATTTATTGGTATCCAGTTCAGTATATTTATTATGCATCACAAACATAAAATACCGAACCATAGACTTAGCATGTTATTAAGTCTATGGTTTTACGAATCTGCGTTTTGTTTCGATTCATTCATTCAGTCACTTTGTTGACAAATGTCAGTGTGGAATTCAATCGTTTCATCTATCATTCGCTCAGTTTCACATAAATGCAAAAAGGGGAAAATTAAAAATTTCGTTTTGCTACTATGATTTATCGTTAAATTAATAATTTAATTAGCTAGATTTAATTTGAATTACAAAAATGGTTACAATAATAAAGAACCAGCTGCTGAAACATTTATCTAGGTGAGTTCTTTAGTCTCTCTGATTCATTTTTCTTATTATAAAGTAACATATACTTTTTAAAGTTATTTATCTAGATATAATAAATTTCTCATTGTATTTTAGAACTTAGTTACTTTTTATGTTAGGAACTAGGACTTGCAGATAATCATTTCCTGTAGAATCTCTTTGTTCATGATAAATGTTGCGTTCTTTAGTGGCAACAACTGTCTACACTAAATATTAGCGCTTTTTGAATCACAAAGATGTTATTTGTTAAATATAACGTCGATATGTAGCTATTTATGAGAGGCCTAATACTTTGCAAAATCTGTTTGTGTTAGTGTAGAAAAGAATTGTTTTTGTGTTTGTTGAGAATTATTGTTGTGAGAAGCCAAGTTATACACTAATTAACTTACTCTCACAGTAGCTATCTATAACATTGAAAGGTCAAAGATCAAAATTGAATATTCTTTTCTTGAGATATACTATAAAACAGTAGTTGTTACTTTTCCTTATGCTATGATTATAAAAATAATATAGGGTAGATAGGGAGTGTACTCCAATTAGTGGATTTGGCAATTTTGTGCATGTTAATATGGCTGTCCCGACAAGTGATTTGTCCCAAAAAATAGGAGGAACTTCTCTTATAGTCTATTTTTAAAAATTGTAGTTTTTAATTGATACATTAACTGTTTTCTTTTTTTGAATCCGAAAAAAATAAAAAATTACTTAACGAATCAGTCATCTAATTTCAATTCCTTTATCACAGCAATATATGGAAATATGTAATGTTTAAAGTCTCAATTGTTTTCAGAACAAATAATGATTTTAATGATCAAGAAACATATTAAAGAACGGTGCCCATAGTACTGGTAAAGTTTAAATTAATTTTTGTTTGTAATTTTATTATTAACCATCAAATTTATAAATAAGTTTATAACAAGTTTAGTTTACAATAATAATGCAGAATTATTTCCTTACAATCTTAATTCCTTAATTTAATTATAAATTGTATGGTGAGATATCAATGAATTATTTATCACACTCTCTTTTAAAGCTATACTGAATTTTTATTTCTCATTTTAGGTGTTGAAATTGAAATGCTTAAATAATTAAAAATCTTCTTTAAATAAAATATATACTTAATAGTGCCATCATCTATCCCTATTTATCTCGTTGACGGCCGAGTTAATTTCTTCCCATTTTCTCTTTTGTCTTGACTCCAAAATGCCTTAAGGATTTAGTTACACTTCATATATATTAAGGGACATTCCCGCAACATAACGTATAACACATATCTTCGAAACGACGGATTAAAAAAATGTCTCTTGGTGAAATTCTTTTGATTAGTGCTGCGTACGTCTGGGAATAACGCAAATTTTCGCAACATCTTGCCCTCCAGTGTAAATAAAAATTATCACATAGCATCACATAGCCTCCTAAACAAGTGTACGCATGAGCCGACTGGAAATGCGAGTCGCAATGTATACAGGTTTTGAGTTTTATAACACAGTGTTGTCTCAGTCTAAGAAAATGAATAAATTTTATTACTTTCTAAGGAAATTACTTATTTATGACCAGATATTTACTTCTATATAAGAATATCAATATGTAATTTAGATAAGTCTATCTAAACGTATATAATACCATGACATAACACCCATAACCAATGAATTAATATTCATAATTCACGAAATATGGTAATCAGAATGTCGCCTCTGTATACATATATTGTGTTTTATTATTCATACATCTCTATCTTATTTTAATTTCTAATGACAGTGTTATTAAAATTCAGTAATTTCGCATTTTATTTATATGATATAGTTGGCTTTTTTTTGGAGCTTATTCGATCCAAATAAACAAATTTACAAATCGTCCTCTTTATAATATTAGTATCTATTACACTGTTTCATGAAATGCTAAGCATATTTTCTGAAACACTGAAAGGTTGACCTCTTCAACATTCTTTTTAAACAAATTCATTAGCATTGTGAGAATCTCGCCAATAACTAAATTTTTGCTTACTATAACAAAAGTTAACGAAAATAATTTTGTTCCTTTAAAGACTCCCAGGCGGAGATTATGAGGGCCATCCTTAAGCCGATAATTTATGAAATGGCAATGATTGATCTTATTAGAGCTCGTAATCCCCCCCCCCTTGACTTAAAGATTGGTTGCATTGTCTTGACTATTTGTTACTCCCCCTAAGAGTAAGACTAAGCTAGGCGAAAGTTCCCAAACGTGATGCCTCAGCCATTAAGCGAATGATCTACTTTACTTATAGACCGTATCCGTAGCCGAATGATTCGCACGCCGGTTTCTGGCTGTCGTCATCTCTAAGGTCCCGGGTTCTATTCCCGGTTGGATCAACGTAAAAAACTAAGTTCCTTCGTTGTCTCAGATACCTGAAAATACTACTCATCTCTGAATCTGAGCAATGTATGTGATGTTGTCTAATAATTATATTTAATTATCTATCTTATTTAATTAACTGACTATCGGGCAGTTGTACAAAACGTTTATTACAGTTTAATGATGCATATAAGCTCTAATGAATGTCATTTTTGTATGGATAATGTCGCTTTTAACTAATGACAATTTTATTGGACGTTTGTGCAACTAACTATATGTTAAATTGATACATTTTTATTTTTCCTTCAATGAATTCTGCTAGTTAAGACTGGATCTGCCTTTGATTAGTAATCCATGCCTGCTAAGCGAAAGTTCTCTAGAGTGATCCCTCACCCGCTCAGCGAATGTCTGATATCTGAAATGATGGACTTTTATTTTAAATCCAAAAATAAATCTCAATCTCAATATTATACAATCATCAAAAATAATTATTATAAATGTCTGTACTATAATGAATTGACAATGCACATAGTTTTCTTTTTGTTTCTATTAATTCTGTTAGTACTGGCTTTAAGACTACATCCATCTTTGATTAGTAATCTACTCCCGCTAAGCGAAAGTTCCCAAGTGTGATGCCTAACCCGCCAAGTAAATGTTTGATGCCTGATACGACTGATTTTATTTCAAATCTAAAAATGAATCATAATCTCAATGTAACAGACTTATCAAAAATATACAATTATTACCAAACTTTTCTTATAGACGACGTAGTCGAATGATTCGCACGCCGATTTCAAAGTGTCGCTATCTCTGAGATTCTGGGTTCGATTCCCGCTTGGGTCAACATAAACAATGAACTTTTTTACATTGTCTCGTGTTTGGGTGTTGTCTCATATACTCGTAAATGCGCGAGTTCTAGCTACTCATCTCAGAATCTGAGCAATGTATGTGATTTTGTGTAATATTTATATTTATTTATCATACAGTTTGGACTATATTAAATTGATATATTTTTATACTTCCTTCAGTTAATTCTGCTAGTTAAGACTAATAATCCATGCCCGCTAAGCGAAAGTTCCCAAGAGTGATCCCTCGCCCGCTAAGCGAATGTCTGATGCCTGAGACGATAGATTTTTATTTCGTATCTTAAAATAATCCTTAATGTTATAATATTACACCTATCAAAAATAATTATAACAAACTTCTTTACTTATCACCAGTGGTCGGAATTAGGTAGAGTTATTCATGTACTTACAACTGATTTCATACAGCGAAAGAATAAAGTGGATATGCCTCAAATCCCGAGATTAATTTTAAAGAGCAGAAAAAAACCCATGATTTTTTAAATAAAAAATTATTTACTTTTACTCAATTTAAACTACTGCACGCACGACGTTGCCAAACTTACATCAATGAAAGAAAGAAATAAAGAAATCCCGGGAAGGTCCACATTAATATCAACATTTCTATGCAAGTACGTAAATAACTCCACCTAATTCCGACCTCTGCTTTATCATATAAATCGGAGTATAATGGATTGCCACATTTTTATTTTTCATTCTATTAATTCTTCTAGTACTTGATTTAAGACTGGATTTGCCCTTACTTATTAATCCAATTCCGAACCGCGACGATTAAATTCAATCTAAAGATAAATTTTAATCTCAAACGATAACATTCACACAGTTCTTGTGTGTTTTAATGATTTATGTAGTAAGTCCATGTGCGAGTTAATTAGATAAAAATATATAAACTGTTGAATTATCTGTCTCGTGGTATAAAATTTTCAGGCCCGGTAGTTTTTAGAATAAGTCGGGGAGGGGGTTAAATTTCTTATTCATTGCCTAGCTTAGAATTTGCATGTTTGGGAAACATGTCTATTTTTTTATTCAACATGGTACATTGTGATGTGTACCAAATTTCTACCTAATCGATCGATTTTTTTTGACTGACGGACAGACAGGCAGTCTACCAAAAGCTACGTTTTTCTATCATAAATAAACTGGAACCTGATAAACAGGTCATCACCATTATGTTTATATTAAAACTAGCCGTTTTACCGCGTTTATATTAAAACCACCCGTAGTTGAAAGAATTTTAACAATCGGTCCAGTTGTTTCGGGGCCTATTCGATGCAAACAAACAATCAAATCTTTCCTCTTTATAATATTATAGTATAGAAGAAAAAAAAATCTAATATTTTGAATTACAAGTAATCTTATAAAAACATAATGAAAATCTAATTATATAAATGCAAATACTGTCTGCATGTATTGAAACAATATCCGTCTCTTATATAACACATTGCAGTTTACTGAAACGGAAAAACCTTTGTCCTCTCCATGGTTGGGTGCTTCGCATTTTGATCGCATGCTGCCTTTAGCCTTGGTTTTACGTGTCAATGCCTTCATATTTACAATTTTAAAACATATTTCGATAATATTAAAGTTCAAATTTAAATTGACATCTACTTTATCATGTGTATCAATACAAACTTCATTAATTATTTTTAATGTTGTTTTTTTAATATGAGTATGATGACTAAGCCACTGGATTAGATATGCAAAAGTTTTTAACGAATATATATATACTATATAAATTTTATATGAATCTCGGAATCGAATCTGACGATTTTCATGAATTTTAGTACGCAGTAGGTTTCGAGGGCGCTGAACCGATCTAGCAAATTTTTATTTACAAAAAAAATACCAAGTCACCCAGGTATAATTAATTATTATTGATGTACCTAATACTTTATATAATTTATGTATAATATATCTCCATTGAACTCAGTAGCGGGCGGAGGGGCCGCCCCGGCCCCTTGTCTTGGGGGCCTCCAAACGGTTGCAAGTTCCCACGATCAAATCATAAATTGGGGTTGGAGACCCCGTAATCAAATAAGTAATTAAAATTACTGTTACTGGCCTTATCTGTCTATCAATCGGTCGGGAAATTCTCGTTTAGTGGGGGGGGGGTTTAAAACGCAAAATTGGGCTATCCGTGCCAAATGCGGCCCTGGGTCCCGATGTCCCGATGTCCGATATAAAAGCCGCTGAATAACAAAGGTTTTATAGGTTATGAAAATCTTTATAATACATATTAATATAGATTGTTGTCTGCAATATTATTGAAGTTCGTTATTTTGACAAAAAAAATATGGGACCACGCACCAGTAGAACAGCAAGGATACGCAATTAAATATTTATACTATTTTATATAAACAATTTATTCTTGATAATACCATTCATGTTCTTCGTCGCAAAGCCGTTCAAAAAAATAATGCTAGTATTCCGCATTTCAAGGTTGTCTACATTAAGCTTTTTCCTCCTATTTGTCAATATAAGTTGCATGATTCGAAGTGTTGATTTTTTTCCTTTATATTCCTAGAATCTAGACGAGGTGCGGATAGCGCTAGAAGTGTGCTCGGAGCCACGTCAAATGAATCCGGCGGCCGCTAACTCGATGCCAGTGCCGGGCAAATATAGCTACATACATAAGGTAAAGTCAACACGTCAAGTTAAACAAAACTATCAAAGTGCCAATCTATTTTATACCTTAATACATTTAGTGTAGCGCTCACGGTTCATTGTGAAAATGAGTAACAGCAGTGTGAAACACGTATAATAGGTAAACATTCTATCTGTACTATCTTTAGTTTACACTAATTGGTGTGTAACAATACATGAATTTCCGAATCGAACTATTGCCAATTTTGATGCAAAGTTTGTACAGGAAATTAATATTGAACTAATCCCGCGCATGTGGATACAGAGTCCTATCATCATCATCATCAGCCCTTTTACGTCCACCATGCAGGGGCTCAGGCTTTCCTTATGAATGGTACAATGTGGTTTGGAGGGTATTAACGCCTGCAAATGCAGCCGAAACCAACTGCTTAAGTTGCCTATCTAGTAGCTCGAAATAGTAATTTTTTGGTCACCCATACCGTAACCGATCTGGTTCCACTACGCCACTGATCTACCTATCTGCTAGTCATCATTGCCATCGACCTATTATTGGCTTAACTGTTGCCACAGGCCTTCCCCGTTTAAAGTCATAACCCAAAACGCAGGCCCAAGCGGTCACCAGCCTATTAACGTCCTCACTTCCAACAGTAAACCCCAGGACTCAAGCCTTCCCTATGGATGCAATGGAATCAAATAGGGAGAATAGGCCATGACCCAACACGCGGGCCCAGTGCGGATTGGTGGGTATTAACGACTGCCGATGCAGCCGGGACCCTTGGTTTAACGTGTCTTATAAATTTTTGGTCACCCATCCTATGACCGGCCGTTACGAAAGTTGCTTAACAACCGTATCGCAAACAGAGCGCAATAGCCACTGTGCCAACGAGCTCGTCAAGTCCGAGGTACATAGGAATTATTTATGATAAATTTTTAGTAATCTCAAATCATCCGATGATCGACATCTGCGAATTAAACTGTGTTTTAACGTGTTTCTACTGTAGCACCGTTCTCTTAATATATAGCCTATATCTCTATAACAAACGACACAACCGGCCCCGTGACTTATCTGTGAAAAAGTAACAAACAGACCGTCGATTTATGGTCATCGTAATGTTCATAGATGTGTATTTATGTTACAGGTCATAGATGGAATCTCAGTGGCTGTGAATCATGTTCAAATAGACTTCAATTGTGATGCTTTCACCAGTAGTGTTCAGGTTATTATCATAAAATTTTTTAACTTAATTTACAACTAATACAGTCTTAAATCAATATCAGAAATTTCTTAGTTAAGATTTCGTACCCAAAGGGTAAAATGGGAACCTATTACTAAAACTAACAAAGTTATTCTTTTTTGTTGTTTTTGCTCGATATCGATATCGATAACGACAACGTTAAATGTTTGAAATATTTATAGAATATGTATTTATATTGTAACTTTTAAGATAAATATTTTTTAGGGACTCCCATACAACAAACGTGATTTTTTTCCGAGTCCGACTCACACTTGGTCGGGTTATTATTTTAATCACATGAGTTGACAGTGTTTTTGAGCTTTTATTTACTAAAATACTTTAAATCTGAATTGTAGAAAATCTGATACACTGTTTAGAAGATTGTATACAGTGTTATGTCTTGTTACAAATTCATTATCATATTTGACTTATTTCTGGGGGGCAATTCTACTAAATATTTTTTTTTTAAATCGAATCGAAAACGGATCGAATCCGAATGAAACTACAGTTTTTAATGGTTTTCTTATTCTACAAAATGACATACGATACAATTCCACTTCTATTTTAGCTGGAATTGTATCGTATGTCACTTAGTAGAATAGAACTCATCTTCTTAATTCATCTTCTCAGCTATTTTAGCTGGAATTGTATCGTATGTCACTTAGTAGAATAGAAAAACCATTAAAAACTGTAGTTTCATTCGGTTTCGATCCATTTTCGATTCGATTTAAACAAAATTTATTTAGTAGAATTGGCCCCCTGTTGTTCTATATTTCGTTATTATTAAAAAGATGATAGACGAAGATCGAAAACTCTCTAAAAAGTATGAAATCAATCACTATGAATACTGATTCCCAAAAAAATTAGAACATTCCCATTGTACTATGGAATATGAAAGTGATAAGATCGTGTTTATGTATTGTTCTAGATCACAAGAGTTGTGGTTGAGTCTCGGACGCCGGAGGGTCGTAAGGGAGACTTAAGACTGACTAGAATCAAATCACCCGACACAGGACAGCTACTGATATTCAAGGTATTGTTGCTCTATATACCTAGTCACTGGAAACAATTCTTTATAATTTTAAAAAATCTCGTTAACTTCGAGCGTGGGTTTGATGACTTTTTAACAAATTCAAATGAAATTTATTTAATTTTTTGTGAAAATACGTATCCGATCACTGTTCACTCTCGAATAATAAAACTAATAATCAGGGCCTTCACAGTAAAAACAGATATCCTTGATGAAAAATGCTTAAAGAATCCACTTGCCCCACGTTAGGTACGTGATGGGGTGAGATCTGAGATGGGACAACAATATTTTTCAATATAGCATTGTGAAATATAATAATAAACAGATATCCTTTTATTTTTAGGAATTGGAGTGGCAAAGTGCTAGGATAGAAGCAAAAGCTCATGGTGCTGCCTCAGCTAATCTACCACCGTTACGATTGCTGCTCGGCAATACACAATGTCGCATCGTTATAAAAAAGCGCCTCTCAGGTATGATATATTTACTATTTGTCCCTGCACAATCGTATTCAGATTATATCGTATTATCGTATCGTATACAATTCATTAAAGTAGAGTAAATAAAACTTCGTATCAGTTGCAAAGTTGAAGTTTGGTTGAAAGACTTGATGTGGTGTAAAGTTTGTTGAAATTATTAATTGTAGAACAACATATTTGAGGGATAATGGACTCTTCTGCATGTTCTTACTTTTGTTTTATCAATGGACCGGCTCAACCGGAGTGATACCACGGCCTCACAGAAAACCGACGTGAAGCAACGCTTGCGTTGTGTTTCGTCGTGTGAGTGAGGGTACCGGAGGCCCAACCCCTCCCTATTCCCTTCCCTCTAAGGCCGGCAGCGCGCTTGTAGCCCCTCTGGTGTTGCAGGTGTCCAGGGGCGACGGTAATCACTTACCATCAGGTGATCCGTCTGCTCTTCTGCCCCCTATCCCATAAAAAAAAAATATCCTTTATGTGCCTGGCTATAACAAAATGGGCGAAAAGATTTCCATCGCCACGTATTCCCAAAACTACTAATCTGATTTTGAAAAGTCGAGAATACCTATTGGTTACAGAGAAATCTTTTAAAATATTGTTTTTCTAAAGACAATAATAGCATGACTTCACTTGACGTTCGTGTGTGTGATATATATGTTGTAAGATATAGCATTGTATATATTAAACATTACCAAAACAAAAAATGTATATATTTCCGTTTACTAACTACACCCGTATCATAGGCGTATCCGTATTTACCATTTTTTGTATATATAGATTGCGCGGTGTTGGGTTCGCGGTTGGCGATAAGGCCGGAACCTCTCGCGTGGGCTTTGACGGACGGTCAGCTGCGCGCGGCACTAGCGTGCGCCGCCGCACTCGCGGAGCCCGTAAAGAAGGCCACCGCCGCCGCTACCAGGGCCAAAGCACTCAAGAAGGTCAGTATGACCCGCACGAATCAGCATCACACCTGAGATCCTATTCTTTTTATATAATTATACTGAAATTCGGAAATTTTCAAATCGTTCTTATTACTGAATGTTATCTGTGCACAATTACCAGTGTCGAATCCTACCTCCGTTGCATCGTAAATTATCGAAAAATGTGTTTCTTTTGTGTAGTATTATTTATTTAAGCTTAATATATCCTTAACAACTATTGTTAATATGCTATAATAAAAAAAGTATAACAACATATCTAGTGCTTTTAAATATACTAATTGGCTATACATATAAAAGTTTGTGTAAGTTAATGACCGCCGAAAGCGGTGTAAGCCTCTTCCAATACTTTACACATACATCGGTCTCTGGTTAGTCTTGGCCAAACGTTTCCGTTTGAAGTAGTATTAGCATTTTGAAAATAGACGAAATTTCGGTGGCGCTCACAAACATGTTTTCTGACTTTAGAATTTTAACTCTTATTATTCACGTAGAAAACGCTGTCAACCATATTCATAATGTCATAGTGGTAAATAAACTCGTACAATATATTATTTCTTAGATTAAAAGATACCGATCAGGCAAGAACCCATTGTTAGAAAACAAAAGTTATAAGTAGTCTGATAGATGTTTGTGCCGATGCGACGTCACACATTAATGTGTTAGGTCACGTGACAGGTTAAAACTTTACTTTTAATTTTCATTTACTTGCCACTTTCGCTTTCTTTACTAGACAGATGCTAAAAGCCTTACTGTTCTCAACTAAAAATATTTTTTTACGGTGCAGCTTAGTAATGTATTCCAATATACAACTACCTACTGTATAATTTACTATTGTTCTATTTAAATATTTTTTTGATAATACATAATAGATCTGGTTGCTATTTCCATTGTTAACACAACTTAAGACAGTTAACGATCAGCAAATCTACATAATCTGTATACGTTTCCAATGTATCCTTTGTAACGTGTCATTCATAGACACCACAAACTACTTTGTACATTTGTTTTTATTTAAGGTATAAGATTCCGACCCATCAGCCGTGTTTAGTTTAGTCAATATGTATTTTAGTTTAATTTGTCCCGTCTTTATTTTTATAAGCTTGCTAACGCCGTTTAAATTAAAAATAAATCTGTTAGGGAAATAAAAGTTCTGTTGCCCAAGAAGCTTCTGGATTATTTCACAGATTAAAAGACTATGAGGATACTGAAAATCTGTTGAGGATCCAAAAGGGCAACTTTCGATCTCACTCACTCATAAAGTCCACTTGTAACTACACAGAATAAATATAAAAGCAATTAAATATGTTGATTATAGATTAATGTTTAAGTATATAATGTAATGTCATGTATTTGTTGTTGTGCCGTATGTAGTGTAATTTCAAAGTGGTACAAAGCCCACCACTGGTCAGGCTTTTGGTAACGACTTATTTCCGAATTTTATGATTCCGTGATGTCATGACTTGATTCAACAGAATATCAGTGCAGTGAGCCTCTCTTGCTGCTTTGTTCTAGTGTTGGCGTCACATAGCATTCATAACACCTGTAATCGTTTGTTGATATAATTATGTTTTTGATTAGTCGTATATACAAATGTTGTTGTGTGTGTTATGTATGCCCAACTTGTGCAATTTCTTTCTGCTTTCTATTACAAAATATATCAAAACAAACATTTTTATATTACTAAATGTAAACCCTTATAGCTCTAGTTTGTGAATATCTTTACGTCGTCGACGGACCCACTTTTGCAAGCTTGTGTGGTTGGTGTGACATGTCAAATAAAAGGGTTTGTGTGAATTTCAAATATATCTCTATTCCAAATCTGCAAGGAATGGGATTTCATCGACCATCACTGGTCTCATATTAACTGGTGATTGTTGTAATGTAATTATAATTATGATTACATACTCCCGTGGGAGAGCCACGCTTCGGCATGAATTAGCCGGCTCGACCGGAGTGATACCACGGCCTCACAGAAAACTGACGTGAAGCAACGCTTGGGTTGTGTTTCGTCGTGTGAGTGAGGCCCAACCCCTCCCTCAACCCTTCCCTCCCTATGATCATATTCATCCCTCAAAGGCCGGCAGCGCGCTTGTAGCCCCTCTGGTGTTGCAGGTGTCCATGGGCGACGGTAATCACTTAATATCAGGTGATCCGTCTGCTCGTCTGCCCCCTATCCCATTAAAAAAAAAGCTATTAACAATGAGAGTAGTGGAACTTTCTTGATCAATTTAAGAAATTTTGAATTTAGATTACATTCCGTAATCGTTGTTTGATTATATTTTGTCTAAGGTTAATGTTAATTTCAGATTGAAGAGCCCCGCGAACAGATACATAGCAGAACGAGTGGAGGTGATCGCGACATATTGGCCCGTATGTTTGCTAAACACGATGTACGAGAAACATCATACCACTTGTTGGCACCTAGGATCGATTTACATTTATGCGACGACCCAGGATGTAAGTTTGTCATCCTAGTTATGTGTAGTTGTTCCGTTATTTTTTTTTTACTGTACTCTGCCGCAGTGCCATGCATAAATGCTACGTACGTAAATAAATAGTGTATCTGTTTTGGGCAATATCTGATTGCAAGAGTACATTTAAATGTTTATTTGCCCAGAAATTTAAACTCATTAAATACCCAATTCAATTAACTAATAATTAATTTGGCCCTTTTTATTTTTAGAATATTCCCGAGTGCATATAACCCAGACCTATTTAAGTCAATAGTGAACAGGTTCTTTCTTATCTATTTCATGTCCTTGGGCTGGATTGAGCTCATTTTGAATTTTAAAAAATACCTATGTAAACATTGTCCGTTATATACATGATGTATCTGTGTTTTAATAAACCGAGTTCTGTTACAAAATAAATACGTATCTGTCGACGACTGCTCTAACAAATGCAGAAATGTTTTTGCCGATACGACGTCACACCATTACGTGATACAAATATCATGTCAGGTTACGTGATACACAAGCTAATAAGCTCTATGGTTATTTTTTTATTTAAAATGAATATAATGTTTCTATTTGAATCGATATCAAAATATCTATTATAGCAAAATTTATTTTAATTGCATTTCAAAAATTAATTTTCATTACTGAAAGTAGTAGGGGTTTAAATTAAGAGGGATAATTAATGATTCCGGTGATTTGTAGTGGGGAGATCAGAGAAGCCTTCGTTGTCTTCCGGTGGAGCGTTACAGCTGACGTTAGTGAGCATGCAGGCGGATCTGTTCCCGTATCATAAGGCAACGGACACAAGAGCACACTGGCGAGGATACAGGTACCAATTTAATTATTATTATTATTCAAATAATATACCGTAGCTAGGTGGCGTAGTGGATAAGTTTGCGATCGTAGTTGTTAAGCAACTTTCGCAAAGGTTGGTCACGGGATGGGTGACCAAAAAATTATTATCTCAAACTACTCCGTACATCGGTAGACACGTTATGCCGTTGGTCCCGTTCCCGTTGGTCGTTAATACCTCTCAATCCGCATTAGGCGAGCGTGGAGGGACATTAGCCACCGTCCTTAACCATCCTAACCTAACCTCTGACGTCAAAGGGCTGATGGTAATGATGATTCATATAAATACAGTTCTTTTCTTTTCGTCGAAGACGATATTATAATTAAAGTACTCCAAGTATAAAATAATAGGGCTTCTTGATGTGTCTTAATATATAGTTTTTGTGTTTTCAGAGAAGCAGCTACACCTCACAGCCAATGGTTGTCTCAATCGCTATCATCATTTTGTGCAACACTACTCGAATGTTTGGACCCGAGACCTGTAACACCCAGTAACAAGGTAATATTAAGGTCTACAATCTAATAACACTTAGCTAAAGTATCACGCTTGACCCCAAGCGCGGGCTCAAGTGAGGGCACCTAATGTGTTATAATTTACACCTTACGGTTACTGAAGCAAGACTGATTATAAATATGAATCAAACTTGTACGGTCATCTTTGGAATTTCCAGGTCGGATATACGCAAACGGGGATTTAAGATGCAACATATCAATTGGATCTTATTCAATTAAAATTTGTAAAATAAAGGATAAGTAGGAGTAATGGCGGGATTTTGATAACGCAGCTTGTGGTTCGGGTTCCATGTCCTGAAAAATAGTGTTAAATTCGACTTAAATTGCATAATTTTAGTGGAGTTTTATTCAATTTAGTGTAGTGAAAATGCACTCTTGTAGGGAAGGTGAAACTCGATTCCGTTGTTGTGATATCTTGTGTTGCTCCATTACTCCGCTTGACATGGTTTTGGTATTGTTTCAACACTATACCTAAGCTCTTGACATGACTGACGAACGGACTATGACTTACTTGAAACATTTTGAGTTCAATTTGGGCAAAACTTGATACAAATCATTTACTTGATACTGGCTATATATACAACTGGCCCATCCTCCTTAACCATCCATAAGGAAGGCCTGAGCCCCTGCAGTGGGGACGTAAAAGGGCTGATGATGATGATGATGATACAAACTGTCCGAAGCTACGGAGAATAAAAAAAGGGATAAGTAATCTTGCGACTATCGTAATATATTCTCATAGTTAATCAACTGAGTAATGTAATTTGTTATGATCAGCCTCAACATACGGAGAAGTCGGAGGAGCAGATGTCTAACGGTATCGGTCCCCGCCCCGCTCACTCTGCCCCTACGCCTACTGCGACCCCTTCTGGCTCACAAGGTACTGATTTCATACAGCGAAAGAATAAAGTGGATATGCTCAAATCCCGAGATTAATTTTAAAGAGCAGAAAAACCCGTGAGTTTTTAAATAAAAAGTTATTTACTTTTACATAATTTAAACTACTGCACGCTCGACGTTGCCAAACTTACATCAATGAAAGAAAGAAATAAAGAAATTAATATTAATAAAATGCATAACAAAAGTAGTACAGTATGATGAATACCTGTGTCATTGAATCGCTGCATCAATGCCTGACTTAATAAAGGTTTTATTTTATTCGTCAGTCTACTTTCTATTTATTTAGTATTATTTTTAGACTTTTTATAAGTGACTGGTATCAATAATTATAAGTGTAAAAATTGTGCCTTAACTCCATTTTTCAGCGTCACCACCAAGAAATAGGATCCTGCAGCAGTTAGGGAAACTAATGACGACATGTCTCGTTCTCAGAATAGACGATTTTACGGTCTATAAGGTGAGTAACAACGGGTGAATTTAGTATACTTTTTAATGGCATATAAATTACGAAAAATTAATTTATACAAATCCTACATCCTAATTTATACTACTGATACACGGTTCACACACATTTACCACGTTTTTGCAACTACCGGGGAATTGATTGTCTGTATACCAAAACCATAGTATAGTCCACTGATTCCCTAAGTGGTCCAATTTCCATCGTTAGATCTTCATATTTTGGACGAATTTTGAAAAATGTAGCAGCAGGGGGTCCACCGAAACCAGTAAATTTTTTAAAATGGTCTACGAGAAAAAACTGTTTAGGAACCTCTGGTATAGCCCAATCGCCAAACAGAGAATTTTGTACCTTTGTGCCTACTAATGGATATCGTAAACATTGTATGCCAATATTGACCAGATGCATTATGGGTGCACACAAATGAAAGAGATATGTAATATCGGGTCATTGTACGAAATTCTCTTTGTTCGATGATAAATGGTATTTATAAAAGACTTTAGTTTTTCGTCCACGTGGTGCATTATACACATAAACCTTCGTCTTGAACCACTCTGTATAATGATGAAAACTTAAATCCGTTGGGTAGTTTAAAAGATCTCGGCGTATAGACACAGGGAAGCGACTTTGTTTTATATTATTTGTAGATATACACTGAAGAAATATCTGTTTGGTTCAGGTATCGACGGGTTCGAAAGGTCGTGAAGCGCCTCGGGCGTTAGTAAGCGCTGAAAAGGCGACATTGCCTGGCGATGCGGGGTTACTGCACGCCGAATTAACATTTTTCTACTATCCAGGCGACGTATGTTTGCCAGGTATGTATTGTTAAAGGAAAAAAGGTAAACAACTGCCAGCACTAATTGTCGATATCACTACGGGCATCCCTTTCTGTCACTGTCACTTTGGTTTAGCGTTTTTAGTTCCAACGTGTTCGTTCTGTAAATTTCGACCTGCAGAACAAGCCCCGTGGACGGTCGGAGGCCCAAGTTAATAATGAAGAATTGAAGGCTATTCTGGAAGCGGATCCATCGTAAACCTCGTCTGAGTTAGCTACAGGCTGTGGTATTAGTGATAAAACTGTCCACTTGAAGCAAATTGGAAAGATTTAAAAGCTTGAAACGTGTGTACCTCACGAATTGAGTGAAGCAAACCGGCAAACGCGCTTTGACTGCTGCGATACATTACTTAACCGGCACAATAATGAAGGGTTTTTAAATCGAATCATTACCTGTGATGAAAACTCTCTACAATACAATAGTCGAAAGCGCTCATCGCAATGGTTGGACACTGGAATGCCAGCCAAATCCTGCCCCAAGCGAAAATGGACCCCAAAAAAGTTATTTGTAAGCGTTTGGTGGACTAGTGCCAGTGTCGTACATTACAGTTTTCTCAAAACTAGCCATACGATTACGGCAGACGTCTATTGTCAGCAATTGCAAACCATACTGGAAAAACTAGCTTTTAAACAACCGAGGCTGATCAATCGCTTTACGCCACTGCTAATTCACGACAACGCTAGACCACACACTGCACAACAGACGGTTACCAAAGTAGAAGAGCTTCAATTGGAATGTCTAAGTACTCCCCGGACCTTGCTCCATCCAACAGATTACCATTTTTTTCGAAATTTGGATAACTTCTTGCAAGGGAAAAAATTCAACTCCGTTGGGGCAGTGCAAATCACCTTGAAATATTTTATTGATTCCCGTTCGAATGGTTTTTTTTTGTAAGGGGGTCAATGAACTACCTATGCGATGGCAAAAGTGCATAGATAACAATGGTTTTACTTTGATTAAATAAATGTATTATATTTAAAAAATATTCTACTTTTTGTTCCTCCCATACCAAACACCAATTTAATATGTAAGGACCTAATAATTATTTTATAATAGGTCCGATAACGGGAACACTAGTAATGATTAACTTTTTCACATGCCCACCCTAAACAAAAATAAATAATTTTTTCTTTAGTATACTTTCAAGCTATCATCCTCACTATTGCCCAAATCGAGAAACGGTATTTTTAGATTTGACAATTTCACTATATAAAATCCCTGATAACTTCAAAACGGATTTACCCTATTACTTAGTTTATTTTGTTTTATCCGTGTGCGTGACTGCAATGCACTTTGTATGTAGATTGTATTATGTGGCAAACACATTCAAAATCAATATTAATTATAATTAATATTGTATTGTAATTTCTTAATATATCAATGTATGATAAATTAATGAAAACACGCAAAAAGTTCAATCTTTTATCCTGATTACTATAAATAATTATAAATATTGGACATCACACACATCGCTCACATTCCAATATGAGTAACCAACGCCCCGTGTTATAGAGTATCTGAGACCAAGAAGATATCATATTGAAATTGGATTTGGAATCCGCTTTACGATGTTCACATAAATAGACTTGAGGCCATACAGCGAAAATTCATGAAATTGCTACAGTACAAATGCAAAGTGTTTGACGTCAACTATGAGATAAGATGCAGAAAACACCACATATTGCCATTACAAACAAGAAGGACAACCTCAAACATAATTCATTTAGGCAAAATTGCCCAATCAAAAATAGATTCCCCGTACCTTCTTTCTAAACTTCAATTGCGAGTCCCCAATAAGTCAATAAGACTTCAACCAACATTTACCATTGCACGCAGTGGTACAAATTATAGACAAAACTCATATTTTATTAGGTCGGCAAAAGCTTTCAAAGGCCATATTAGACTTTTGGCTAGAGTCGGTTCCCTCATAATAAAAAGAAAAATTTAGTTATTTACGAAGTTAATAATTGTATTATATGTTTTTTTTTTTTTTTTTTGTATAGATTTCTTCACATTACTAAAGCGTTATAAAACAATAATTTTATAAGTGAATACAGTATTATGTACTTGATTTGATATCACTGTTTGTTTTCCTAATAAAATAAAATAAAAATAAAATAACACAATATAGAAAAGTCCATTTTCTACACTGACCCTTGAAACAGGCTCGCGAACCGCCCGTCTACGGCGGTCGCCATTAAAAGTGATCGTTGATCGTTGGTAACAGTTCCATCGCCGAAGTTATACGTGCAGCTGAGTCCGGTGCGCGTGTGCGTGGACGTGGCCAGCGTGGTCTGGCTGGGCGCGTTCCTGCCGCACGTGGCGCGCGCCTCGCAGGCGGCCGCCGCCGCCGCCGCCGCATCGCACGACGACCCGCTGTACGTGGACGTGCGCGCCGAGGCGATCATGCCCAAGGTCAGCCACGGTATACGCATATTAGCGTAGCTAGGGATCTTTATGGATATATTGATATTTTTAGGGGTACGGCCGTCGTGACACGATCCGTTAATTAGAATCTGTGGCGCGTAAACGTTCTCCTTTGTCAAATAAGAATTATAAGCATATCTTTTAAAAATTTTATTTTGTGTCCTTCGTGGTGTTTGAGCAATATTGTGAATTTAAGTGTTTTGTTGGTATTGTGGTAATATAATAATAAAACACGCATACCATATGTAATAAATTGTGTTCTTAATAAAGATATCGATAGATTTTATCAACGAAGTATCGATATAATATGTGCCTATCACTACTCATACAATTTTAGTTTTGGATGGAAGATCCGTCGAGTGTCTCACGGTAGTACAGTGCCCGGCGCAAAAGTAAACACTGTAAACAAAAATAGGTATCGAAGGAGGATAAGTGTACGGGGGGAGAAAATAAAAAATTTTTTTTTCATTACTTGTTAATATTGTTATAAGTGAAATTCATATATTCTCTCGACGGCCGCATTGCAATAAATACAATAAAAGTCTACACCTCTAGATAGTGTTAGAAGCGGGATCGGAACACGTGTCTCAGCAGCGGGATCGACCGAGGGAATTGCACATATGCACGGCGCGGGCGACGCTCACCAACGTGCGGGAACCAGGCCGGGCGAGTAAGTAAATATATGAAATGAAATCGACAGATCTATCAATGAAATAAAAGAGTTTGCACAAATTTCACAGACATTACACGAAATAGAGAAACAAATTTTAATAGAGGATATATTACGCACGCGTCTATACTAATATTATAAAGAGGAAAGATTTGATTATTTCTTTGTTTGCATCGAATAAGCTCCGAAACTACTGGACCGATTTTAAATTTGCTTTCTCCTATGGGTGAAAGTACGTGCGAAGTCGCGGGAAAACGGCTAGTAGTAAATGAATGATTTCCTCCCGTCTTACATCCAAATATGCAGCAGTGATGTAATATTGGGGAAAATTATATCTACTACCGACCTACAATATTTACTATTACTTTATTCTTTACTCACTAGTTTATGTATGAAGTTTGAAGTTGCAAAATAACGACAGAAAGTTAGAGTGATATGTCCTATTGATTAATTATATACCATTATGTTTTTTACCAAACCATTATATTATATTTTTGTAAATAACGATATAGTCATATTTATCAGTATGTACTTTTGATTTCATTTGAATTTCCTGATTTTTCTTTATTAAAGTTTTGTAAGGTATATTAGTGTAACTACATGTAATAATGGAAACTAACAAAATTTTACAGATTATTCGCATGAATATAAAGTGTTAATAAAAATAGTTAATAGTTTAGTTGTTAGTCAAAATAGTTTAATTAAATGAACAAAAATGTATGATCTATATCATGTTTGTGTTTCACAATTAACATTATCAATGTGATTAGAGATAGCAAATCACTTAACAGAGTAGTAGAAGTATTTCTATTACATTTATTTTGTTTACCTCGCTGTTTCGCTTCGTAGACTCAGCCGGCACACGGGCTGACTTAGCGGCCATCTTGGCAGCACTGAGACGATCAGCCCCAGCTACCGGACAGTTTCCATGCGCGCACGACGATTTAGATCCCATACACGAACAATTCATTTTGCACGCAAATAGTAAGTGTTTTTTTCACGTCAAGTTTTATTGTTTATCATTTTCATTATAATGTTCAGTTTTTATAGTTTATAAATGCAATGAGTTATATAAATTTCGCCTTTTAATGCCTGTTAATCTAAAAATGAAATAAAACAGAATTGAATAGACAGAGTACCCTTTCAGAAAGATTAGTTTTAGATTAACGAAGTTTTACGTAATCGTTAATAATTACTGTGCAACGTTTTGATTAGATTTGGATGATATCGATCGCGGCACATCTATGAGGCCTGAACTATTGTGGCGGGAGAATCGCGGCGTTTGGTGCGCTCGTACTGAACCTCTGTGGGCGGATACTGCGGGCGCACGTGCCGCTGGAAGACCCGCCCCTTTACTAGACGCCGTCCCGCTCACAGCATGGGTCTGTCTCGCTCGCACTTAAAAAAATGAAGTTACTATTACATTTATTTTGACTGATTATAATACAAGGGTATTGGCTTACTTGCATTGGTATATTAGTAAAGTATGTGATGTCTAAATATTCGTTTATTTATAATACAGCTGTGCTTCGACGAGGGTCTGTCACGCATTTGGTGTGTAGCCAGAACTTGCGGGCTAGCGGGACTTCAGTTGAACCACTACCAGATGCTATTCCTTTTCCGTCAACTGGAGAGAATATCAGAAATGGCAGCGTGGTTAGCACATGACGCTAGCAGGCAACCAGATGCCGATGAAGGGTGAGTGGCGATCAACTAATACCCAAAAGCTTCGGTATAACTAACAATCAATTAATTATAACTTTCATAGTTTTGTGTAAAAAAGGGAGATGAATTAGGGAAATAACCTTTAGAATAGTACCCATATTTGTCTGTTGTTTCTGTCAAGACCCTGTTAAATTTATTCAGAATGTTGAAATCAAATTTTACTTATGAAGTGGTGTTAATATCTACCATCAATCTTCCTCAGATCGATAGTGCTGGGACTGGTTGTCCCAGCAGTGGAACTGACCGTCGTACTGCCGTCCGTTTGTCCCGGTCAGGAGTCATCCAGAGATCTGGACAGTGTTCCACTTGACTCGTCCAGTTTGCAGGATTTGAAACTAGGTAAACTTTTAAAAAGTTTAGGTATTTTATTCTGTTTAAAAAGAACTTATGTGTTTATTATAATTAAAAAAAAAACACGAAAAAGTATTACTGAAAGGGCATTTGGTAAATTTAAAATTTTTTTCTTACTTGCTATAACGCCGTGTACCATTTATTCAAAACGTCATTTCGATGTGTACACAAACAGATTGATTCATATTAACCATCATTCAGTCGACATTACTTCGAGTTACTTTTTTAAAGGTTCGATCGATTTTAAACTTAAACCTGTAAATAGTTAAGTTCAAAATTGTCTGTCGTGCGTGACTTTTTAGATATAAATATTTGAAACGTGTATAGGTTCAGAGTCTACGATGGCTCCGTCTATGATAGACAGAGACAGTGGTGTTATGGCGACCACGTCAGTGGAGGTGTACTCTACTCAACCGTTACCTGCTGACGAAGTACCGCCTAGTCCCGTCCTCAACTTTGGTGGTGAGTGCATTCAAACCAAATTATAATATGGCGTGTAGTGTATTTTCGGTAAGTTAAGGAAAAATTATATAATTGTTGTGTTTTATTTTATGCTTTACATAGGTGTGTGGAACAGAAAGAAATTTGGACTTACTTTTAGTTTCTTCGATAACCCGGGTATTAAGCCGCTGGTCGTAAGTCTCCCGCGTTGTTCTGGGATAATTTTGTTATCGTCCTAACTGCCCCTTCACACAGCGTTGATTTTCTATGTATTTGCTGTATACACTTTCGCGCTTCAAGATTTGGTTGGAATGGGACCTTGCGGGATCGACCATTCGCTATGGCGGCGGAGATGCAAGAGACAGTTCTCAGTGATTGTCTGTCTACCCTCGATTACTTTATATTTGTCCTAATTAGGGAAAGGCGGATGAATAAAGTTGTGTTACCATATTCAATACTTTGTTTGTATCGCATTTTGAAACCGAACAATAAGATATAGGTTATTAAAGATTTTTTTAATAATTTTCTCACGTTCAAAAACGTCATTGATAATGACGTCATTATTCAAAATAGCACCACACGATGACATACAAATGACTAATGACATTAGGCAATCTGCCCCCTAATTGTCTAATTTTAAATCTATTGCAATCGCTTTCAGTTTGAAAGGTGTTGCACAACCATTGCTTGTTTCTGAAGATAGTTGAAAAAAAAGTATTTGTATTATGCAGCAATGGTCGTGCAACACCTTTCAAACTGAAAGCAATTGCAATAGATTTAAAATTAGACAATTAGGGGGCTGGGGTCATATTAAAATAATCCATCTCTGTGTTGATTCAGTGATTACGTACCTCACATACTCAAACTGGGGTCAGTGCTAATGGACTAAAATTATTCAGATTTATTATTCAGACAGATCATAATAGACCTTTTACAGCAAAAAGCACAATTAATAAGTATGCCTGTGCCTGTCCCTGTACCTATGCCTTCAGGTAACAGTTACAAATGAATTTATTCTACCAATTCCTTTACTAGCTTTATAAAAAGATAAAGTTTCTAACTTTGTTTGTTTGTAGGGGGTAATCTTCTGAAATACTAATCTGATCATGAAAATTCTTTCACCTACGGGAAGCTATATCATATGCAGGTTCTGTAGACTATAATTTACTTAGGCGAAACTAGTTATAATTTACTCAGGCGAAATCAGAACTAATATATAAATATACGTATCATCATCATCATCAGTGCTTTTACTTTACTTGGGCTTTGAACGTCCACCCACAGTAGCAAATACAGCCGTGACCAACGGCTTAATTTACCTTCCCAATAACTCTCGAGATAATAACTCTTTGGTCACCCATCCCTTGACCTAGGCTTGCGAAAGCGCTTATCTTCTAAGCCACCGAGCTAAATATATGTGTATGATCAGGTTTCTCTTCGATGCGACGTGGTCTGACGTCCCTGGTGACATCGATAGATAGTGCGCTGACGCGCGACGACGCCCGCAGCGACGCCGCCTCCACCGCTAGTTCGGACAGCGAACGATACGTGGTCGTGGGACTGGCGGCTGAGTCGCCTGACGACGCCGACGTAGCGTTTAGGTAATAATGAATTTAGGTAATGACAGATTGGGATATCGATTCCTAATAATATTTGTAAGTAGGGATGATTGTAATAGTATATAAAGCACATCAAGTTATATATATATATTTTTAATGAATGATTTCAAATTCTACTTGTGCCAAATTAAAGTTAAAAATCTATTTAAAAAATGTCACTGTTATATAAAATTAAACTAATTGATAATTTGTCATCGTAGAGAGTTCGAACACGGTCGTGTATCGAGCAGCGTTGAGGTGGCCGCTGAGGTGGTGGAACGTTCATCATCACCCAGCGACCACTCCGTCACCAGTTCCTGCAGGAGGCGAGACGTGGTCAGTGCGAACGCTTTCTCCTTTATCATAAATACTTAATATGATTATCCGAACAAAAAAGTATTTTCTCTTAGGTACTGCAAGGGTTCTAAGAATCCGAATAAAACAGATCATGCCATAGCATAACCCCATAACACGTGCGCCTGGGCTGTTGCCTAGTTCGCCTATGTGGACGGACTGATTAGAACTAGTTAGAACCCTGGTTAGAACTATCCTGATTACAAACTATAAGTGATGTTACACAAATGGTTAATAATTACATTCCGTCAGCCATTATCGACTAAGATGTTCACCAAGGATGTTCATTTTTATTTGTAAAGATATAGCGAAAAATACTTTTAATTTACTAAGCATTAGTAATTAATTGCAGTAAAATTAAACCACTCTTAAACAAGTTGTAAATGGTCGGCAAACATATTATATATAATGTTATCTTATGCATCCACAATATACGCTTCAAAAGAGTTTATTTCTTCAATAAAAAATATCCTATTATAATATTATAAAGGCGAAAGTTTGTAAGTATGGATGTATGGATGTTTGTTACTCTTTCACGAAAAAACTACTGGACGGATTTGGATAAAACTTTACAGCAATATAGGTTATACATCAGAATAACACATAGGGTACTTTTTACTGGGAAAACTTCTCACTCCCACGGGATACCGACTTCCACGCGGACGAAGTCGCGGGCGTCCACTAGTATTATCATAAAGAGTGGGCTCCTAAAAAATAGTAAATAGAAGCGACAATATTTAGAGAAGTCCAAATGAAAATTGACTTCATTAGAATATAAAGTCATTTTCCAGCAAAATAATAAAAGCAGATACTCATTATCAATTCAATTAAAATATTATGTAAATTAAAAAAAATGGATATAATAGAGTACTGTGAAGCAGTTACAACAGACCCTGTTTCAAGGGAACGTTCACCACGTATTGAACAAATTCCATTTTTTGACGTGACTTTGTCCGTGTCATAGATATCTACGTGTACGTGGCGTCTGAACAACATTCACGTGGTACATCAAAGCGTCAGCGGACGTTCCCGTCTGCGATTGGCCGCGGATGGACTCAGTACGGACGAGTGCTCCGCCATACCGTGGGACGAGTTCCAGGTAATATGAGTGTTATATGTGAATTGATTATGTACACAAACGTCAAAATGAAACAATACTATATTTATAATACGGGTGTATACAGTAAACGAAAGTAAAAACCTTTTTTTTTCTCTGGTAATATTTAATATACTATTTCCGTTAATCACACTTTTATACTTAATATATTTATAATATTGCTAAAATTAATTATGAAAAAACAATAATTTTATACTCTTTGTCACGTGACCGCAAACAGCGCATGAGGTCACGCCCCTCTTACTCATATCAGTGCTTAGAGAATTCAACCTTATTTATACATAAAACTATATTAGTTTCAGAGGATTATCAGTGCGTCATAGCGACGCCATGATAGAAGTGGCGTTTATTTTATATGAATGATACTTTTTTAATATTCATTTAGGTATATGTATTTCATGTATAACAAAAAATAAAGTCTACACCCCCATTCTTGAACAATCGTTAGATGATCTTAAAATTCGATAACACTCTCAGATCATAGAAATAATGTTTGAATTTATTTTGTTGAATTTTGTTAGACAAGGACAGAATATACTTCGTCATAAACTGCTCAACACACAAGAGTCGTTGGTCATAGACAAAATAACTATATATATCCTCACACGTTGTATTATTGCTGATAATTCATTACATGACTATAAATGGATGAAGTTATTGGCATGAATAAATAATAATTATTATTTTATAATACCCTCTATAAATATTGTAATAGGTAAAAGACATTATATCCGTAACTAACAACGTTATATCGCGTCGTCATATTCCAAGTCCCACAGATATTACTTTCTATGATCTGAGTTTACACCTATTGATGTGATTATAATATCGTATAGACTCTCTAAATTACCGTCCTATCTGATCCATTTTGAAATTCAACTTTAACTTGATATCTCGATAGTCTATTAATATGTTAAGACGACGTGTGATATGCAAAGAAGTTAAGTATCTAACAGCGTCACAGCGATGGTGACATTTGGACTGCTAATTGTTTTTTTTTTTTTGCATATACTGATAAAACCATTATATTACAATAATTATTCTATGATTACAAATGAAATGAAAGATAATCAATTAAATAACTATAGTGGTTTTATCATTTTATTTGTAATACATGTTTACATTTAAAATAATACTTATCATACTTTTTTTAATCATATATTCGAACATTACAAATATTGTTTATTTCATTTAATAGAATATGTTTTTGGGAACACCCAATGACATTTGTGAAATGAAATATTAATTCTTATAGACAAAATTAATTGTATCTTTAATTTATTATAATATACATACTCAGTGTTAATAATGAACAAGGTTTAGCGTTGGAGTAAAATTACGCGAAAACTGCACTTAGTGTCAATCCAAATCATATTATTAAACAGAGACTTAGGTAAGATTAACTTAGTACCAGGTTCTACGGGAGTAACATTTACTCCTAGAAGGTATTGAATTTGGACTAATACTGAAAATGCTATTTCAGCGTAAATTTACCCTGTTGCTAATCTTATTTTTTAATAGCACTTGATTTTGTTTAGTAAGTGTTGTTTGACTAAACTGTGGGATTTATTTTCAATAAATATTTATCAAGTGATCTAATACACATCGTTATGACAGTAATAACATATTATATGCATTAATAATTTTGGAATTTAAAATAATTTTGGAAATTAAAATAATATTTATTAATCATTTTTCGCATGTTACATTTTACCATTGTTTTTTTTTTTTTTTTGTTTAAATAAGATTGCCTCTACCGAACTCTTGGCATCACATTATGCGTATGCAACTTATCTAAAACTTTACTATGATATAATGACCTACGGACAATACTATGATATAATGATCTACGGACTTCTCAAATAAAACTAACGAAATGGCATAAATTCATTAACTAACTGACAGTTATTGAGCTACATTTCTATAGCGACCAGTTATTATCTCTGTCCTTTTTTCACGTACGCAATAATATCATCCGTTGGTTGATGAGGACGTTAGGGCCGAAAATTTCAGTTGTTATTTTTATAAAAATTGTAAAAATTATTGATAAAAAAATTGATAGTTTTGTCATAAATATAGCTATCAAATCATCTTCACCCAATTTCTTCAAATCTAATAAAATTTCTATTCCTTCAACATAAAACTCTGAAATTACTGATTTGACCTTTTTTTTAAAACTCATTCTTCTTTAAATACTAAATAGAGATTAAATAACGGTTAGTATATTTAGTTTTAACTTTTTATATAATAAGTTTCAGTAAAAATGTTTCGAATCCCTGTTTTGACTTGTTTTGTTGAATCATTTTTCTGAAATATAAAATGATAATTAGAATAATGAGTTTAATTAATTTTCGGTATAATATATTTTAATAAAAATGTTTTGAATTCCTGAAAGATTGTTTATATTCTGTATATCGGGTCTCGTTGGCCTTACTTTAGTAGTTTTTTTTGTACTTGGGTAAAGTACTAAAAGCATATTTAAACATCGGAGCCCGAGCTTTGTTAGAAAGGACTAATTGATAATAGAAGTCGGTTGAGGCAATCTGCATGTACCGCCATCACTCTCACGTCCCATAGTACGCCCCGTAACGCTGTTACTTTAAATATTATTATTATTATATGATATGCATCCGTTTTTTCTCTAACTATGTGTCTACGTGTGTTTCTCTATGGCCTATCCCGCCCGCTCGGCTAATACATGGAAAGACTCGACTCAAGGTACTTTGGAACGATCCACGGATCGATGTTTTGAAATAGTAGTGGTTACGTAAGTTAGCTGTAGAGGTTATGTGTCGTAGCCAAGGGGGTTTGTGTGTGAATGAATGATGATAGAGGATATTTCAGATATGCATTTATTTGACTTTAAAAAAAATATAATTAAATAACATCATGAATTTAATATAAAATCTAACTTTTTGACTTTAGTAACTGTATGCTTATTAGTGTCATGTTATAAGAATATCAAGATATAAGAGTGGCCATTTGGGACTATCTGTTATAATTACATAAACAAAATTATGTAATTATATCATATCGCAAATTGGATTTATGATTATAATGTTATATGTTTAAAAGATTGAACGCATACGGAAATATCTTCAGCATTGCTTTTCGGCTACTTTCTTCAATGTTTATTTGTTTCTAATCCACCACGTACGCCATATGAAAAGGGTACAGGTATTGTAAAGTACCTATTTGCAATCAGCTTACTATATTAATCGCATGATAAATTATAGAAAATAAAAACTTCAAATGACGCTTTCATCACTTTCCCACATAACAATCACCATCTAGCTCATAAATTTGGTAACGAAAACAGCTCTTTGTAGTATGTGCGCAGGCGTCATTACAACTTAGTGTTTCATCAAAAACACAAGTCTAAATAAGCTGTTGCTTTAAACATAACTGTCACCGTCTGACTATTTTTATTAAAAGAGATTGTGCGAATACGCGTCAGTAGCCGTTTGTGTCCGATGGCTACGTCTGGCTACGGAATATGCGTATTATGTAGCCAGACGTAGCCATTACGTATACACGAACACTTTTAATCAACACGTATATATATCCGAAAATACCATGGTACCTGACTTAGTGACCATGATTGAGATTGAGACTGACAAGTCCAGAACGTGTCTCACGTATACGCACGGGCACAGCCCCGAAAAGTGGACCAGTTGCTCTATCACGTAACTAAAGCCTTAATTGGCTTCAAAGTGAAGCCTATCATTTCAAGATGACAGATTATTTCAACTGTGATGGGACTCACTAAAATCTCGTATACATTTTATCTTTATTGACCGGACCCTTCAACGCGTGATATTTTCGCGAACTTCAACACAGGCTAACGATAATACCTGCCTTCGCCTCTTTATCCCAATACTCACATATCTAAGGCGTGGAATACTAGTTGCATGTAGACCACACCTAACAGTTGTAATTTTTCCTTTGTACGTAAGAATTGTTTCCTTGCATTTTGAACGTACTAAGTGTTTATTTGGGCATTATGAATAATTCCCGATATGAGAAGGCAATGTGATAAAGATTATGGAAATGAGCAAATTTACCAGTCTCATTTATAATTCTAGTCACATTAAGGGGGAGAGCTATTGAATCTTTGTTTTATTTCCGTACATATCGTCATACTTAATTCAAAAGTTGTAATTTTGTTATCACAGGGGAGACGACCGTATTTTATTTCGAGTTTAGTTTTTTTTTTACAGTTCACAGAAATGACATGACCTTATACATAGTTCACGTAGTGTGATGGATGACTGTATGAATATAAATTCTTTTGTTTCCATGTTTATTCTCCTAACCGTAAAATGTACCTGTGTATAAATTAAGTGGCAATATTCATAATTTCGAAGTTATATCGTAAACAAAGGAAGTTCGCGGGTTATGAAAAATGCCTCTATATATCGTTTGGTACCTAACTTTATATTACTGTTTTGTTTTTTCACCTATCTAAAGAAAACACTTTGGCATAACAAGAACACTTATTTATTTATTTGAGCTTTATTGTACAAATAAAAATGTACAAATGGCGATCTTAATGCCATGAGCCAATCTCACTTGACTCGGACAAAAATTTGCACCTAATATTTCACAAGCTTCTTGCCTGAAGTCGAAAAATGGACTTCACATACAATATTTGAACGATATAATTTGCAACAATATTTCACGAGATACAAAACGCATCTTCTCTTAATAATTGCCAATCAATTATGAACTAAATTTTCAAAGTTTAAAGCATAAGATCGTTTAGAGAAATTTGAGTTCAGGCACGTGGATATTGATGGATCGCCCGGTAGCATGATACTTAAATCATTTTGATTGGCTGACATTTGTGGTGCTTCAAAATTTAGCCTTCTACTCAGGTATGTACCTGATGTCAGTGAGCCACATCAATTTTATCTTATTGTATGTGTTTCATTGTTACTAAAACGCTTATTTTAGTCAGATGAATAATAAGTGTAACCGCTTTACATCAGGATAAAAATCAATTAGAGAAATCAGTCATTTTCTTGTAATACGGCGTGCTGTCTATTGTGCAAACCAGACGGAAAATCCGTCAATCGTTCATGAAAGTATGTGTTCGTAAGCACGACAGGTCATCCGTCGAATATGCAAGGTTAAATGTGATTCTGACCTTCCACCACGAACGTTACCGACGAATTTTCCGTCATATGTGTGCCTACCGTAACTTTTTAGTTACGCATGTGTGTACCAAATCCTATCATTCTCATTTGTCTCATCGCATTTGGTGTGGTTTTATTTGTTTGATTATGCA